AGCTCTCGACGTTTTTCTATCGAGTGGATTTCATCTGCGAACGAAAGAGATTACCTGCGAAAATGTGGCTGCCGGATGGCCTGAAAAAAGGCTTTGCGAGATAGGCGTGCACGTATGCTCGACAATAGTGATATAAATTCTGGATAGGCTGGAAAAGGTTCTAAAAAAGAAAAAAAAATAGTTTTCGCTATCCAAAGTGACTTGTTAAAGTACTCGAATGCACGCGTATTTAATTTTAATACATTTTCCCTTTAATAAATCTAGAATTTTTATTTTTATTTTTGTTCACTCGAAATTTCTATCACATCTTAAGGCAACAATGGAATGAGTAACAAATCTATTTTTGGTATTATTACATACCTCAAGTAGCTTCCGTATTATTAATTTAAAAAAAAGAAATTTGTATTATTTGAAAAATTTTATTATTTTTATATTTTCTTTAAAAAAATGTTTAAAAAAAATCCTAAAAAATTTAATCTATATTTAGGAATTTATAATAAATATATACAAAGTGGGATATGTGTGTGTGTGTATGTGTGTGTGTGTACTTTTACAGTTTGTTAACTTGTAAATCAGTAGACTATATCGATTATTTCACGCAAACGATAAAAATGGAATAATTAAAAGTAGATAATCGGACGCGTAACAAGTCAACGCGATTCATTCAAATGTACCGAAACACGTGCATTTTGTACTAAGCAGCCAGCGTGCATCGATGTAGATTGAATACGTACGGAATTTCGGGATTGGCGACCGGAGCATTAGTTTCCGGCGAACAATTCCCTTTCGGCAGAGCATCGTGACCATTGTTCACACGCGAGATATTTGCGGAAAGCTACTACGTCCGAATATCGCCCGTTTATTCCGACAACTGTCTAAGTAATCCACAGGAGTTACTTCGCAACGGATTCGACGAGCGTAGCATGAAAGCCGGTCTGAGACACGAAGTCGAATAATTGTATAAGGAGCGGATCGTCTTCCCGTCGTCAAAGATATTTGAACGATGTAAGTCGGTTTAACAAATTACCGCGCAAAGTAATTTGCTAAACATTTTGCTCGGAACTTGCAAAAATTAGTTGAGTAAATTTCTTCCAATCTAAAATTTTTCACGTTATTTAAAGATTAACACAAATATTCTTAATCGTCTAACATAGTACATTTTATCAAAAAAATTAACGCATCTCAAAGCAAGCTTTCCTACCTAATCTTCTAGATGAGGAGATAAAAAAGTGATAAGAATATCACAGTATGAGAGAGAGAGAGAGAGAGAGAGAGAGAGAGAGAGAGAGATATGTTTATTTAAAAAAATCTGTTTTAAATGTTACAGCCTAATATTCTGTAAAGCCCAATGTGTCAGATCTGGAATTAATTTATCGGGGTGTCGATTTTTCTATAAACATTGTATATATACATATACCTACTGCAATAAATATATGTGCGTATAGAATATATATAAATTTTATTCAGTATATAATATTCAAGTGTAGAGGATATCTATGCTGTAACGTCGACTAAGAATGGCTTTTTACCATTTCGCCGTCCTTGTCTTCGCGGTTCTCAGACATCGTTTTTCATCTCGTCGCGTCGCCAACGGAACGAACATCCATCATTCGGATCGGCGTGTAACATCGCGCGGACTCGCGACAAGCGAAATCGATACCCGTCAATTCCCAATGAGCGCCGATCGGGCCGTTTCAGCAGCCTCATAAATAATGAAGCGCATGCAGATGTGGTGCCGTCGTCTCGCTGTAAATCGTGTACATTGAGCCGGTATACGGCGAATTTGCCGGTTTTACGTGGCTAACGATGTGCGACGGCTCCCATACTCCGCGCTTTCTCTCTCTCTCTCCCATTCTCATAATCGACTAAAATATCACGCGTTATCTTGCGTTCAGGGTCGTATGAAAAAATGATGAACGTGCCACATCGTATAATATGCGACGTCACTTAACCTTCGATTATCGAACTCGAGTCTGTATAAGGTGTTCGATAATAGACACATTTGGTAAACAAGTCAAAAATTATGAGCACGATTACTACATTCTGTATGAAATACATGGATACCACATACATACACATACACACACACACGCAACTGTTCATTTTTGTAGTCTACAAAATATTTATATTTAAAAAGACATTGTTCGAATACATACAATGATATATATTATAAGTTAATGGCAGATTTTTCTGACAGGAGAAAAAATATTACAAGCATAAAGTATTTAGAAAGTGTAATATCTAATACAGTATATTATACTTGTGCGTTTATATGTATACCGACTCTTATCAACAGTAGAAATAAAGTGCAACAAATTTTAATCGGCGCGATTGTAATGGATGCAAAAAATTCATCAAATTAACGTAATTAAAAAATGTATCCGAGAGAATACATGAAATGCATTTTATTAACGGTTAAATTCATAGAATAGACGGAAAGAAAAAAGAGAAGCACGAAAGAAGAGGAAGAAAAAAATACGCGAATCTGTTGAGTAAAATAATATTAATTCGATAAATATTAATATGTGAAGTTTTTTAAACTGTCTGCAGCACGTATATTTATATTCGTGCAGAAAATAAATTCATCGATCAAATTTGCTTCCATATGTTTGCATTAGACAGTTCGTGATACGCATTCGATTTTACCTTTGATGCAAATGATTGTACTGTGAATTGCTAATGCCTAACAGGCAATATAATAAGCATTCTAGTAAACGATTAATCGATAATGTACAACTAACGGATGATAATACTGTTACGTAATAATGATTCACCATAATACAAACATCAATTAAATTAGATCATAATAAATATCTCTTTGCTATCTCTCTACTATAGGATCACAATGCACAATGTCGTATCTCTACAGACGTATTTCATAATTATTATAATAATTATCATCGTACACAATATTTCATTATATGCTGCAAAACAAAATGTAATTAAATCTATTAACAATTTAGAATTAGTAAATCTATTAATTACGTTTAACGATTGTGTACAAAAACGTTTACAAAAATTGTTATTAAAATCTTGATTGATTGTAAGATTAAAAGGTGAGAATCCACTGTGTGTTTCGCGCGAAAAAGATAAATATTAATAAACATTATAAAATACAAGTAAGCCATATTTAATGGTAGTAAACTGTGAGAAATATCAATTTATATACAAATGCATAATTGTCGTCATACTTGATACATAATTCTCATCGAAAATTGATTATATTGTTTATAAAAAAAAGTAGTATCTCAATGACGTGTAACTCGACATATGCAGAATTACAAAATGGTTAAAACATATTTGGCACGTATTTGGAACACTATTGGTAATGTTAATGCGATATCGATTAGAACGTAACAGAATAATCAATCTCCATCAATGGTTCATCAAAAATCGATTGTTTTTATAGCATCGATGACTGTTGTGCATTAATGCTTTTAACGCTGAATGCTCAGTTCTCTCCTGGCGGCTACCTTGGGCAGGAAACTCAATTTGCAAAATGAAATTCATGGTTGACCAATGATGATCGTCGCGAGATGGGAGACAATCAATCCGCTTGATGCGGCATTACCCCGCGGGGTTAAATCGCTATTGCTAGTGGCTGACCTCCGATTCAGCAGCACGTTGCGCGAATTATTCCCTCGCGTTTACTCGCAAAGGTGTCATCCAATCATGCGAGTGCATCGCGCACCGCCGTGATATGCGTAGGCTAAGCCGCTTACCTAAATCGAACTTCCTACCTTTCGCTCTGGTTTAATGGATGTATCGAACATTATTCAAAGTTGTCTCTTTAACATCTATGCAGCAATAAAAGCAACATGAATTATATCTAATAAACTACGAAACTTTTAGAAGTTTAGATTGATAAATTAAAAGATTGTTTAACACATTAAAATATTATGTTCCATAATCTTTTATGATGTCGAGTTTTAATTACAATAATGCGAAATATAAACGTTTTTTTTTTTTTTTACATTTATTTTAGTGAACCATAATCTTATGTGGAATTTAACATTTTTTGTCGATATAAAAATATGTAAAAATATAATATTACAGGTATTTGTTTTATTGCTTTATCAGACGAATTAAGAATTTGACATACATTGAAAAGAAAAATAACACAAATTGGATACTTTTCTTAAAGACATTCTTTTTTTAAAAGAAATCACGAATCTGTACTTAAATCGTGCTTGTCTGCACGTGGGCTAATTTATTTGAGTTTGATGCAACTTCCGGGGTAAAAAAAAACTTAAACCACAGTGCACGGAAAAGACTTTAGGAGTGGAAAGACCTGATAATTGTGTTTGGCTGCCGTTTTCAAGGCGCGCGCTCGGAAATTACGCCCCGGAACTCTGACGGCGCATTAAATAGCCGGCAGACATGTTCGCGCGCAAAACAATGAGAGACTATAGAGATCGTTTGCGACACGCACGTCGACCGACCGGGAATTTACGATGCCGTGGGTGCTGCTTTCCGTGGTCTTTGTTCTAACACGACCAAGACGTTGCAGGCACCCTGGGCCAGTATTGTAGCAGCGCCGGCGCTAAACAACTTCCGGTTCTAAACATTTATAACAAGCCTCTGAATTTGAATCTCTTTGCGATTAAAAGTTTAATTAGTTAAATTTAGCTAATTATGATCCAGCGTTTTAATTACATGATGACAGTCTAGTTTCGAATTTAATGAACAGAATGTAATTTTGCCTAATAATTATTCTAGTATATTAAAATGCATTTTTTTTATAGAAATAATATTATGAAAACAGTACTAATAAAGAGAAAAAATTATAAGTTTAAATATTTTTCTTTAGAAAAAAATTTAGATACAATATATGTATAAAATATTATATTAATAATGTAGAAAAAAATTTAAATTTTTGAATCACTATCGAACTTTTTAATATTAAAACGAATATACTAGATGCCGATTAAACAAGTAAAATGCCACTCTACGATCATCTGCAGCGAACTACGACTACAGATATCTCGTTTATGTTGCAGGTGTCCTGGATGCGTAAGCGGGATATGCATATCCTGAGTGCCGGTCGTATCATGTACACGTCGGACCTGAGGTTCCAAGTGATCCATACGGACAAGTCGGAGAATTGGACGTTGCAGATCAAGTCGCCGCAGGAGCGTGATTCCGGCGTGTACGAGTGCCAGGTCAGCACCGAACCGAAGATGTCGCTCAACTATAGCCTCAACGTGGTCGGTGAGTGTTGCATGCATTATTTACATATCTGGCCCGATTACATAAATCGCAGACCCGGCGTTGCTTCTTCCCGAGGTCTTTGCTCGATTGAGAGGCAGACGACCGTCGATCGGCTATTGTCTCGCAAAAAAGATTGTTTGCGACGCGAGCCGGCTGCGGGGATCGAAGGGGTTAAAAGTTTAAACGCTTAAGTGCTCGGTCGCCAGATTATCCTCTCGATGTCGCGTCGCGTTGCGAAATCCTCATCCACATTGAGGATCAGTGAACTGCAACTATCACTATTGCGAATGTCATAGTGATGTCTAACGAATATATAAAAAGAAATTGTTTATTGACACTAGATTTTCAATTGAATTATTTATATAAATTTTCAATTATTTGATCAATTTTTCTAATAACAATAATAGAATAGTTTACGACTTTAAATAAAGCGGAATTCATTACAAAATAAATTAATATTGACTTATATTTACGCGTATTTAAATAACATCGATATATAAATATATTATAAATCAATATTATCTTAATATTTTTTAGTAAAAATTTACTACTTTATTTTAAACATTATTTTATTTGATACATATATGTCACACTGACATTCATCTAAAGAATATTATTTCATCAGTTCATAATATTCTACGTGCATGTAGCATTTTAATATTATTTTCGACGTAATTATTAATGCATTAATAGCAATAAATAATAAATTATTGAATGACGATACGGAAATTTCTCTATAACTTCATCGAGTGTGAAAATCGATCTCGATTCCATCACAAATGCCGATTGCACGATGCAGTTGGCGATGACACGTACAATTATATATTCATACATATACAAACGTATCATCAAGTATCATTTTGCATCCCCGGTGTATAAAGTATATGTTTAACAGTTTATTGCACAATAATTTTACGATGCAGGTGTACGTTTTCTCGCGGGAAAACAGTTAACCTTTTATAAATTTATATACGTAGAATGTGTTGATTCGCTAATTTATTCATCGAATAAACGCGCAATAAATGTCGGTCATGTTTATAGCGCGGCCCGTCTTCGCAAACAACGAATAAAAACGCAATTCTCTTGGCTGCGGCAAGATACACTGTGAGGCACTATTCGTGTCTTCTTTAAAGTTGAAAGCAAACACGCCGTAAGATTTAGTTAAGCGAAGTCCCCGCAATCCTTTTTTACGTTCGTGAATCTTTCAGCAGTTTTCTGAGAACATTAGGGAAAACGACAACGATAACGCACGACTTCCGTTTCTCCCGTTTGCGACTGTCGTCGACCGAATAAAAAGCAATGAGGACGGAAGGGGGGTTGGACGAGTTTTTTTGCATCGAAAGTCGTAGCTAAGATGCACTATAAACAACGTAACTTTGTGAATGCAATCCGGAAGAATTTCATATTGGCATAAATATCGCGCCGAGAACTAAACTTGTTTGTTGCTATAATTCTGTGATCTGTGCTGCAAGCTCGAAACAATTGTAATAACTATTCGCCCGATTCGCCGAAAATTGGTATAACTGTTGCCTCGTTTACTATGCGAAATTAATTGCGTTACTCGCGGTGTTCGCCACATATGATCTTATGGCTTTCGTCGTTTGCATTCTTTACCGCAATAAATAGATACTTGCGAGAGAACAAAATTATTTTATGTACGGATTTGATGCATTACACGAATAAAAATACTTGTAAGACTTTTTTGCATCTCTTGCAAAAATTTTAAATCTAACTTTTAAAGTGCAGAAATTTTTAAGTCTTTGTACTTTGAATTTTTTAAATTCTGGAATTCTTAAGACTTTTGGACTCTCGTGCATTTCCAAGCTGTTAGAATATTGGACTTTTGACTCGTGGAATTGCTTGATTCTGAAAATCTTAGATTGCAAGATTTAAAGCTGAGCACTTTTAGATTGCAGATTTTTTAATTTCTAGATCTTTGAATCGTTACTTTAATATGCGAGGACCAGTCAAAGTGTACGTTTAAGAAAAACTTTTTAATTTTTTCTCTTCAAAGATGTGAAATGCCGATAAAAAAGTAACGAAATTCTACCGGAAGTGTAGTAGAGAGACGAGATGGCATAGGAAAATAGTTTATGGATTGTGAAAGGAGAGGGACGAGTGGCAAAAAAAAAATTTATTTTTTCTGCTTTGATGCAGATTTCCACCTTTGTCGTATGCTCGCGCGATAGAGAAAAACAGCATGGAATTATCCATTTCCATTCGTGAATGTAGGATCGCGGAGACAAACGTCGATGTTGAAATCTGCACAAGACCAGAGAGAAAAACAAGCGGCAGGCTGGGGGATGGGGAAAGGAGTACACGAAGCGCAAGGGTGGAGAACGTAAGAGCACTGGCGTGCTCGATAAGCGGCTTGGAGGAAACACGTCGACGCGAACCGAGTCCTTCTCAACCCACCTCCCATTCTTATTCTCCCCTTTTTATGCGCTACGAGCGCATCGATGCAGGTGCATCCACTCCGTCCGGAACGTTTATGCCCGGAGACGGGAGGGAAAGTAGGCGCGAAATAAATCGTCTTTCTTTCGCGCGCTCTCTCGTCCGTAAAATCGTAAAACATGAAGTCGACGGCGAGATCAATTTTACAAATCCGCTCTGCAAAAAGCTGGAAACGCGAAAGTCCCTTCGGTTGTGGATCGAAAACTCCCATTGGGCACGAAGTAAGTATGAGGGTTGGTAAAGAAAGCGAAAAGGCTGCACGTTCCTGATAGGTCTTGCGTAAAGATAACCGGACGACGATCGATTGAATGAGCTAAGAAAAGTGAAGTAAATTGATGAAAGGCAGTATGTTACGTAACTACTTCAATAAAATATCACGCTTGCATATTAGAAAAATTATTTAAAAGAAATGACAGATAAAAGAATGACAAAAAGTAATTTCCACCGGAAAGCTGTTGAAGATGCGAAAATCAATATTAGCAGTTTAATAATAAATATTATTCGAACGCAATTACACATTTATTCGAGCTTCATCTTTATAGTTAATCGCGAGAGACGTTGAAAGTAATTTATTCGAAATCGCGAGCGCGATATACGAGAAATTTGGCACGAAACGCCTCGTAATTTCCGTTCCCGTTTTTCAAGTCGAAACGTGTCCTGAGGAGAATAATTCACGTTCTGAAATTCGCAAAGATAATAAAATTCCGCCAACGGGCGGAACCCCGTGGATCTCATCGCTCCGGCACATACATATATATGTATTCTTGAGTCAGCATTTTTTTTCCGCCTCCACATGTTTTCGCCAAGCCATGCGGCGTAAATACATCCGTATTAACCGCTAATGCATTTTTTGCCATCCATGCGTTTGTTAAGCGTCTCGCTCTGCCGCTGTCAAAATAAATTTGAACCCATTTCTCGTATTCGTAGCAGTCGGCCGGCCTTACACGAGCTCTCGCACGATTATCTTGGTTTAGAGGATTTTTTCGGATTACGTGGTTCATTCCGGCGGTAAAATTTTGAGCGCGGGAAGCGTAATGCTGTTTCGTCACTATTGGACAAATTTAATCACCGTGCTTATTTCATTATTAAGTTTCATAATAATAAACATGGGTTATGCGTAACTTGTTACGAAGAGTGATATGAAATATCTGTAATATGGAAACATGCAGTGTCAACAAGCTAATTAGTCGTAATTGCTGCTTAAAACGGAATTAAATTCTACTTAACTATCGAATGCGCGTTTGGCAAATGTGCGCTCGATTTAATGCAAACGCCCTACATACACATTTTAAAACGTGATCGCGGAATGGTTAAGCTACAAACTCTCGCGTTATATCAGTGTACATTCGACGCGGCTCTCATTTTATATCGAAACATTCATATGATATACATTAACTCTGCAAATCCGATCATTTAACACTAAATGTGGAACGACACTGCAGTTCAAAGCTACTCTAGTTTACGATATAGTATAATAGAATCCACACTGGTTGCTCAGTGATGGCGCGTTAATGAATGCACTCTGGTCGTGCAGTGGACGTAATCGCGAATCCGACGAGGGAGTGAAAATGATAATTGGTCGGCAAGGATTTGCGAGGCAACGATGGCGTCAGCGATAAAGCTCCGTAACGACGGAGCATGGTAAACATTGATGTACCCTGCCAATTATCGACCTATCTCATCCATATCTCATTATCATCTCATTATCGATGATGACAAAAATCCATCATCTTTTTTTAGCGAAAAGCAAATGGCAAAAAAACATGCATATATTTTTATACCACTTCTATCCAGTTACGTAAACAAATATGGTCATTATTGAATCTAATAAATATAACGATTACGTTTATCAAATACTGACAAAACGCATTGATATATACATATATATATTTTTTTTCAGAAATAGGTAAAACTCGATACTACTTTAAACGAGAAATTGCAAAATTAATCATCCTGAAATCTTATTTTCGCGAAATACGTTTTCATGTCGCCGTGTCGAGACGGTAGAGAAGAATATTTATCATTACACGTTAGCGCAGTTAGTATGCATTATAAAGCATGTCCCAGGTTTTATTTTCTCGCGCCGCGACGATTGTGACTTTTATAAAATCCTATATTGCATTATGTATTATGATTCTATGTTAGCGATTCCAGAAGCCTTGTTGACGCGATGTTTCATTCAGCGAAATGGCTATGTCAGCACCGGCATACTGGCGAATATCGGTGCGGCGAAAGGCATAAAGATATGAATAAAATAGTACAATCGCGCGCGCGTATACGGAGATACGTCTTACCAACTAGAAAGATATATAAAAGTATAAACAATATAGCGACTGATGGTTACATATATTTTAAATGATGTTTCAAACTCTTACGTATCTTATTTCGAAAACGGCATTATTCAAACATTGTGATTTTTCTGGGGATCGGAGGAAAACAAGTATTTTTAATAAAATATACCTTTTAAAGATAGTTTCTGTAACATTGATATGAGTTTACATAAAAAAAATAGTGAGTTTAAATTTCAGAATTATAAAAGTAATTAT